CCAAAATAGAGAGGTAAAGTTCACCCATAACTATTTAATTACGAGAAAATTTTATTTTAATCATCAATCATTTAAGTTTATCAATTATATCATTTAATATTTAAATATTATTAATCAAATTATATGTCGTTAACATTTAATTGAAGAACATATGTGATAATTAAAAAAGTTAGTATATTTACACATGTGGTCTTAATTACTTACACATTCAATCAATTTAATCTTAATTTTAATTCAATTTAATAAATTTATACCAAATTGATTAAATGTTTAAGTAATAGAGACCAAATGTGTAAATATACTAAATTTAACTGCAACATTAGTTGTTTTTCAAATATTACATACAAATAATTTGATGGACAATATTAAAAAAATTAAGTGATATGCTTGACTGATTGGTGACTAATGTTATAATTTATGCATTATAAAAATATAAGAGTAAATTATATGTTCAATATCTCAACTATTACTTTTGTTTCATTTTTGTAACCTAATTATTTTTTTTAAATCATATATAATATTACGTTTCGATTTCATTTTGATCACTCATTATTAAAAAATTTAACAAAACTGTTGACATAACATTTTTTATTTTTTCGATGATGACATGACATTATATTATGGTGATATGTCAGTATCACCGTTGATTTTTAATGACAAATGAACAAAATGAAACGAAAACTAAACGTTACATTATATTTGAGTGACTAAATGAAACAAAAGTGAAATATGAGGTACTAAAGTTGTAGTTTGCCTAAAATACAAATAACATCATATATATTATTTACTGATCATTTCCCCCGCTTTTTCACAACGGTCAAAAACCTAATTTTATTTACCCTTTATTTTTTAAATCCCAGCCCTAAACCTAGAAATCAAATTTGCGGAATATCTCAATTCAAAATCCAAACCCCAAATCTCTTATAAAGAGAGATTTTCTCTTTGTTTCGTTGAAAGGCTCTTTCAAGATAATTATGATACTTGTTTCTCATATTTGATATTAAGTTACATAAGTTGAATTTTAAAATTGTGTTTCTCGACAGTAACATTGATGAAATATTTTATACGATGCAATAAAAAAATTGTATCTAATGATACAAAATTAATAATATGCAAATCAAATAAATCCATTTATAACTTCAAGTATTACTCCCATTAATTGTATAACAAACTTCACTAAATGATTATCTCGTTTGATTTTGAGATGAATTTGGTTTATAACTGTATATATTATAAGTTCAATGGGATTAAACCAAATAATACCCCTTATTACCTAAGGATGATTTTGAAATTAAAGAAATGTAAAAGGTTCCTTATGTTTCAAAATAAATAAAGAATTTAATGTATACTCAGGTTTATACGTATTCAGACATAGCATATAATTTTAGGATATTAAGTAGATATTTAAGCAATTTAGGTATGGATCGTTGGATAAGTCAAATTGATTCATACAATATATTTAAGAACAAAAGTGTTACATGCTCACATATCGAAGGTCTAGTAAGTAACATATCATCAGGTTTATGGACTCCGAATTATTGAATATGAATGCAAAATTTTGTTACATGAACTACTAATTATGGATTGATAAGAAAGACCACTTGAGTTATTTTGTGATAATTAAATTGCAGTCATTTTTTTCATATGTAACAGAAACATTTTAAGTCTAAGCACATTGACATTATGTTTCTGGTTCTTAAAGAAAATTCAAGTGATTATGTGTTTATAGACAATGTTGATACAAAATTTGAGCTTATAAGGCTATACATTTATCAGAAAACTTATGTTACCCAATTGGGAGATTGTTGGATTAAAATCCATAATTATGAGCACATATATTTATAATGCACATTGTTTTCATAAAATATGAGATAAATTAAGTGACCAATTATGTTATACAGTCATAAGGTATTAGAAGTTTCATGAAAATAAAAGTGTAGATACTATTAAAGTTGTATTTATAATTTGATGAGGGGTAGAGTTATAAGTATAAACAATAACTGATTTTTAAATCAACTATATAAAGGGGTTATGGTCCACATGAAATAGACAATCTCGTATTTACTTTTATCAGAAAGTTTATACTTAAGGTAATTCTATCTTCTTGGAAAATCACAACCAAATAAAGATTCAATAATTTCAACCTATCAATTAATTCAGATACGCTTCCACATCTACGATTTATTTTATTCTTGATGATTTGAGATGATTATATATTTGTTAATTTCATATTTATTATAATTTAGTTATATCAGTGCGGCCTATGAAACCATCTCTCACATCCTTCCAGAGAGCCCATATACTCGCATGGTGTGGTAGCAGTTGATTGAAAGGGAGAGAATGACTAAGTTTCTTAATATGGAACTTGGCGAGTGGATTGAAACGAACCTCACCAAGCTATGTAATTTTCCGAACATTGAGGAGGATTGGGATTTACTCTTCGACTCAGTGATTTGGTGCCTTTGGACGAGATGAAATATGCTTTTGTTTGATACTAATTTCACTGCAGAAGAAAGCATTTTACAGATCGCCAAACGCCTCGAGGCTGAAGCCAAAAGTGCAGCAATGCGCCACAGATCTATGATGTTAAGGAGCACGGGTTCGATTATTCGTTCATCCGGTTGGAAGCCTCCACCTCTTGGATGGATAAAGCTCAATACGGATGGTGCTCGTAGAAATAACGATGGCATGTCGATGTGTGGGGTGTTCTTCGTGACGATAAAAGCGAATGGATTGTTGGCTTCTCTAAGGCAATCGGGAGGTGCTCGACTATTGATGCGGAACTCTGGGAAATTTTGGAGAGTCTATCCTTGGCTTGGAATTACGGATTCCGTTCTATTATTGTAGAAACCGATATTAAAGATGCTTAAGAATTACAGGCTATGAGAATGGTGAGGGAGGCAAAATTCATATAGTTGGATCTCTCGGATGCTTAGCTCAAAATATCGCCATTTTCAGAACCGATTCATCAAGCCTCGACGAGCTAGGATGTGTCAGCATGCATAACCAAGCTGCTAAAGTCTTCAATCTGCAACTTCCTTCCCTGTGTAAGAAATTGCAGTGCCAGTTTGTGGATTCGAACTTTACGTATGTTGACAATCCAACCTTGTAGCAAATTATTCTAAACTTGGTATGTCCGGTTTAGTACTTTCGAGAGTTTTGATTCCGTTCTCAACAAAACAATGGAAATGGAATAACTTGAAGTGCTTACAATTTTGCAGGATTCAAGCAGCCAATAATGGTTTGCTGTGGATATGGAAATTCACTGTTGAATTACGACAGACGGATTGGCCGTGGGAAAACAGAAGTCTTGAATGGAACTACAATGACAGCCAAAGAACTCAGAGGCAATAATAGTTCCGAATATGTTAACTGGGACGGAATTCATTGTCCGGAAGCTGCAAATCAGTATTTTTCATCACAAACACTCACCGGAAAGTACACAGATCCATTTTTTTGGGCAAAATGCCGTTCCTTCTAGATCTCAAGTTCTTATTTGCTCATGGCTGTAACTGATCCAAACTCACCGTAATGAATGTCTCCGTGATGATATTGTGGCTACGCGTCTCAAACTGGAATAATTACTATGACTTGATGAAAAAAATTGTACGACGGGTCTGTAATTCTTGCTTCACATTAATGAGAAAGTACACTCGTTTCTCGATTATGGAAGTCGATCATGTGCTTAGCTTCTTCAGCATCGTTGGAACACTTGATCAAGCATTATTCTGACCATGCATTTGCCAAATCCGAAAAAGAAAACTATACTAATGCTTGGCAATAGCAAGTTTTATCTAGGTTGAGTTTAAATTCTAAAATAAAACAAATTTCAAATTTATTTTGAACTAGTACTTTTTTTTCCTTTTTGCTGCTTGAGCCCGAGTTTATAGGATACCTGTCTTCGCCCCTTCTCCTTTAGCTGAAACTTTCACATCTTTCAAGCTAGTTTTGAACATGGTGAACTCAATGGAGCTTAAGTCGAATTTCGAGTTGAGGCTTGAACTCGAGTAAGTCCTCACCAGGTAACAAGAAACGTGATGTTTTCTTCTCATAAGAAAATAAAAGTATTTCTCTCAAAATAATTTCTATTTCTTACTGGAAAAAGAATCAATGGAATGAATTAACCTTCCCTTCATTCCCATACAAAGAACAGATTCTAAAAAAATCATATGTAATGAAAAGTGTAACATGCGGCCATAGTTCTCAACGGGATACAGATCAGTTACCTTCTCCCGGTACTGCATCAGCTATATCAGGCTCCATGGCTGGCCCAGCAATGGACCCGTGGTTCAAGAACATCAACTGAATATGTGCACAGGTGTAGAAAGAAGTTCAAAAAATGAGTGATAGTAGCAGTACTTTCTGCACTCTGTTATTCCGACTCTTCAATTTTCTTCAATTATCTGTATCCGATGAGTACCCGGATTTGGATATAGTGATATGACCTTCCAACGACCTTTGAAATACATGGAAAACTTGAAAACTGAACATACCCGTGTCAGGCACATACTCGTATCAGACAACACCTGAGATCAAGTAACATATCTTCTGCACCATCAAAGGATAAGGAGGCAGTCATGTCTGCAATTGGGTCTGAAGTTTGACCTCCAAAGAAAATGGTTAGCATAAATGACACAGTACAGGAGATGGCCTAATGCAGAAGAGCATTAAAAAATGGACTCGTTCGATCAAGAAATAGAGTGATTCAAAATCCCTTAACTCGATTCAGAAAGTAGGTTCTATGCTAGATGAGAAATTATATGTCATAGGAACAGTCTCGAGTTTAGCTAAATTTACCTTCTGGTAGATCAGAAAGTAGGTTCGATCAAGAAATAGAGTGATTCAAAATCCCTTAACTCGGTTCCCACTGCTAGCTGATGTTGAAAATTCAATTTGGCATCTTCTTTATCTCAAACAAAAAATAATGGTGGATTTCTAAAAAACAAAAGAAAAAAAATACTAACAAATTAGCGATTCACAAATAATGAGGCTTTCCAAAAGGTAGTTTATGAAAGCTTTTGAACTCTTTAAGAATTTGGTACACAAATGTCTTTGTAATCGTTATCTGAATCAATATCTTCTTTGACATCTTCGAATTCATTATCTGAAACAATATATCCTTCTTTGACATCTTCATCTGAGTCTAATTCTTGGTCAAAAAACGAATTAAGATACCCTTTACAATGACCATGCAAATTGGTTCTGTCAGCCTTGATTCGCCATTTCTGGTCTTCTATCATTTCGGTAGAGAGTCCCCATCCTCGCAACTCTTCATCAGTATGATGGATTGCCAAACTATACTCTCCACCAGGTCCCAACTCCATAACTCGAATCTCGCAATTGCCTGGATTATATAGCTGCTCGAATTGCTCAACTGTCCATTTGAACCACTTCATTAAAAACACCCGAGAGGCTAAACCATGTGAGATTATTATCAGATTCAATTCTTGAGAAGGATCATTTCCAAGCCTATTCAAGTCTATATCCCTCCAAAGAGATTCAAGAAAACCTGTAAAATCCAAAAAAAAAAGAAGAACATCTTTCAATAGCACTTTCATCAATCCAAAGTAAGATCATTACCATTTGATTACTAACGCTCATTCTCATGGGACTAAGATCAGTAAAACAAGAAAGATGTATCCCTTACATAGAACATAATAACTCAAAGCCAGAGATATGTTTCCAATAGATGCAAACTGCTTCACTATCATAATCTACTCGAAAAGAGACTCACATCTGGTTCCATTCTACTTTTATTACATTAAACCTTTGAGTCGGTGAATACTGCTAACTCACTCGTTAGAGCCATCATCTAACAAGTCCGAAGGACTGTTTTGACCATTGCCTAAATCCAAACGAGGCATATGATTTCCAGAAAGTAACTCCCAACAACATACACTGACACAAACAATTTAAGAGCTTAAAATTATTAATGAAGTAAATTATGTAATATTTTTGCCTGTAACGCCACCATTATCATCCATATAACACATCGACTAAAATGGCACCTAATCCAAACGACATGCATCAAAGAAATTTGTGCTCATACGTAGTCAAGGAAGCAATAAACTAGAATTAAAACAAGAATCTAACTTTCTTTCCGAAAATTTTTGCTTTCAAGGTTTCAAACAATCCATTATAACATTTCCAGAAGTATTTAATTTGAACAAGAGAAAAAAACACAGGAGAAACAACCAACAAAAATATATCAAAAGCAATCCTATTCCTCATTTCCGAATCACAATTTTCTTAACAGAAACTAGCTTTCCTAAGCATTCTTTCAAGCAAAATGCAAAGTTTCCATTAAAAAAGAATACAAATTTGATGATGATGAAGAAGAAGAACATACTGGAAACTCGATCAAAAACATCTGCAGCAGATTCACCTTCAGGGAACCTATAAAAAAACCTCCCAAATTTTTCCCTTGTTTGTTTTGTAATCCTCATCCTTTCCTCCACCTGAAAATTCCCGAAATCTTGTTCCCTAATCCTACACTCTTCCCTCACCCCAATCACCCTTTTCTTCGAGAAAGATTTCCCAATCTCCCGTAGCGTGGATCGGGTTCGCTCGTAAGGAGATACGTAGAAGTAAACCCGCCAATCATGGGAAGACCCGTTGTCCGAAATGAGGTCCCGGAGCCGGGAACCGGCGAGTCGGGCTTGGGCTCGGCCATGTTCGGTTAAGGAGATCTTGTGGTCGGGGGTTGTCGTGTAGGCCAAGGGGTCTTTGTTGCCGTCGGACTCACCATGTCGGACAAGGATTATGTGTTTCGGTAACAACCTCAAGTTCGGCATCTTTTCTCAGGCGATTGCTTAAACATTCTTCATTTTTCAATCACGAATTCCACCATTGTTTTATCGTACCTGCTTTACCAACGCTTCCCATTCTTGGGTGTTTCATTTGTTTGGGAAAATAATAACCGGTCCATTTATTGGATGATTGAACAAGGTCAAAACAGTCATTAGAATCACATCATATTGAGCACTGATCTTATGGGTCCATAGAAACATCGAAGGGTAACATTTCATATATATATATATATATATATATATATATATATATGAGGATATATATATATATATATATATATATATATATATATATATATATATATATATATATATATGAGGAACATATGTTCTGTTACCTAGTATTTTGGAAAAGTGTGCAACTTTTGCTAACATTGTTATACATTAAATAAAAAGATTCAAAGATCGAAACTTTCTAAATTATCATCTAAAGTGAAGATCATGTTAGGCTAAATCTGAGATCAATGTTTACAAAAATCCAGTTTTGGTTTCAAGTAATATTCTGAGAAGAAGAAAAAGACATCCCTTCCACCCAAAAAAGCTTTTTTCATTTTATGATTCTTGTTGCAGCATCGATTTGATGAATAGGACACGGATTTATATGGAAATGGATTATCTTATTTTCTTCAGAACTTAATCTACTCAATGAAGCTTTTGTGATGGGTGCTCTTGTCTTGGGCCTCAAAGATACAGTATTACGCTAGTGAGTTCCGGATTTCAGTTATGGTGCAACTACAAAGATGATGTTTCCGATTAGGAGAGATTATTATGGGGTGGTTCCTCATTGGATTTGTATTGCCTTTTCTTCTCTTGATAGGTATGCTTTCATAACTCCAATATCGTAGCAAAAATTTTCATTCGACATGTTTTTGTTGATAATGCTCATTGGAAATATGCTAGTTAGGTTATTCCACATGTATTGAGTGTTAAATCCACTAGTATTAAGTGTTAAATCCACTAATATTGAATATTAATTCTATGTTTAAATATAATTAAATTGTGATTTTGAAATGACTATTTTGCCCTCACTATTTAACCTGTAAATAGTGAGAAATTTCATTCATACCAAACAAACATTTGCTTTGAAATACTTTTATCTTTTGAGTGTTGATTGAGTTGAGAGAAGAGCAATACCACCAAGTTCACTCCAGTTTTCGGGTGTACGAATTCTTGGAGAGCCGTGTTAACCTCAGGGGAACAGTCCGCCTACTGCATCGATTACACACATCGGGGTGAATTCGTTTCTACGGCAGTGGTTTTTACCACGACACGGTTATCATTCTGATTGATTATTTTATTTAATATTTTCCAGTCAGTACTAACGCCTCATTTTGCAGCAGTCTATTTTACCAACAATTTAGAAATAAATTCTTTACTGCTGCATTTTAATTATGGCTTTGTCTAATATTTGCTCGTGTTGGACTCGAAATCCGAGTTCTCAACAGAGGCTTTGAAGAGTCGGTGTTGTTCATTCTAAATAGCAAGCTTTCTTTCAGTATTTCACAATTACATGCTTTCTGCCAAAGTAGAAGTAAAATGGTAGAAGTTGAAATGCCCAAGAAACCAAATACTGAACATGAGACAAGGGAATTAAAGGTATATGGCATAACAATATTAAAAGGTTTAAAATCTTATGCACGTTAGCCATTAAATTCATTATTGAACGTTTGTTTTTAACGTTGGTTTTAACCGTAGTAAATGCATGAAGTTAATGCATGAGATTAATGTATAATCATGTATGGTTTAAAGCATAGTTTTTGTTTTTCTTTTAAGCATGAATGTGTTATAATCATTATGGCATTATTGTTATGCTTTAATCATTGAAACGGTTGATTTATATTAAAGGTGTAAAATCAGGTATATACCTTTATATTTTTTTTAGATTGCCAACGTTATGAAACTACCATAATTGAATATTAGTGGTATATTCAATGCCTTGAAGAATGAAGGTACATAAGTTATAAAATTTATGATGGTAACTTATGTGAATAAATGTTTTTGACGTTTGTATTGTCTGCATTTATAAATGCACAATAATATATTAATCATGTGGTTTGAGAGATTAATATTAAATTAATACATCATCAAATTATGAATTGATGATAGTTGATATATGGGTACGAGAGATAATGCATGTGTGATATTTGGTTCATGTGGAGATATAAAATAACTTATTCCCATGTGGGGTAATATAGTTCCTGAAAACTAAGGTGAAAATAGTTATAAATATTTTTTACCGTACTAATAATTTTCTTTGAGAAATTTGTAAAGATACAGGAAATGTGTAATATTTGGAGAAATATGGAGCTGGTAAAACTGAAATGAGAAGATTTTCCAAAATCAAATAGTTGTTAAATTCGATTTGATTTCCACAATCTCTTGAAGATAAGAAACCAAAATCCTAAAGATAAGGATCTTGTCACTATCAAATTATTGTTAGTAAATTAATTTCGTGACTAATCATGTATATTCTTCATTTGACTTCAGAAGATTCAAAAGAGATGATGGTTCAGATGCAGAGATTGTCACGATGGATTTTGGGATCATGCTGATTAAAAATGATGATGCAAAGGCTGAAGTAGCATGCATGGTGAGGATGAATAAGTCTATTTGGAAATGATGATTCTACTTGCGATGTCAGATTATTTAGACTTGTTTCCTGTTAATTCATGCCTTTTAAATACATGAATTATATTGCATGAGCCTTTAAGTTAGTCTTTTAAACTTAGTGGAAATATTGTGAAATGAGATAAACCACTAGTTAAGACTAAAATAGTGAAAAACCACTAGCAAATACTAAGGTAGTGCTACTAAGGATAAGGTAGTAGTGCAATCCCAAAATATATATGCTTAATAAGATACTATTGTGAGTAAAAGTATCAAACATAATTGTTTAAAGAGATCTTATTTAAAGAAAGAGAAAATCTATAAATAATTTATTGGAAAGTAGTGTGATGAGTATGAAGTGCATGTCTAGGATTAGTTCTATGAAGACTTGGTACTTAAGCGTGCCTAGTGCACCACCTCTCTTTCATAGAAACCTACCTGGTGCATTGTTCATTTCTATGCTCACTATTCTAATTGATAAAATACTATGACAAGAACTCTTTAAACTTAGTGTAGAAGTTAAAAGAGTAGAGATTAATTTGGTTGAGTGAAATATCAAACTTAGTCATAGTAAATAAAATATGTGATGATCTCTTTAAGGTTAATATGTTGAATATCATGAATGAGAATATGATAGACAATATTGCTACTAAAAGTGTGTTGTAGCTATTAAATCTCTTTAAGTGATTTTCCTAAGTAGAGGAAAGAAAAGAGATTATCTATTTCATAATGGTTTATGCATTTTAATCTTAATGATCTTTAACTTCTCAAAACTTTGAGAATATAATTATGTGTAAACAAAACTTGAGTTTGTTAAAATATAGTTTTATGGCTAAAACTCATAACAAACTTTACTCTAGTATGATTGAGTATTTGTTTACACGTTTTACAAGACACTTATGGATATCCTAAAATGTTAGAAATGTGGGGGTGTCTTAAAATGTAGATTAAATGCATAAACTTAAATAGAAAATATTCTATAAACTTCTTCTAGTATTCCTGCTAGGTCTTCTCAAGAAATTGATTTCGAGACTAGAAGAAGTAAAAGGCTATTTGGACCAAATTTTATCACTTCATTTATTTTTGAGATAAATGATTTAGACTCTCTCTGATCATATAGCTTAAATATTATATGAGGATCTTAAAAAGGCTATAAGATCTATCGACTAGTTCTAGAAAAGCAATATTAATGATGAACTAGAATCGATAATGTCTAATCATACTTGGGATTAGTTGACTTGCTTAGAGGATTTAAACCAATCTGTAGCAAATAAATCTTCCGGAAGAAAATGAGACCAGGTGGTTTGATCCAATGGTACAAGGCAAGGCTAGTTGTCAAAGGGTTCACTCAAAAGTTTGTTTTAGACTACTTTGATTCTTACTCTCCCGTTATGAACATCTCAACGATCCGTGCATTATTTGCACTAGCCTCCATTCATAAGTTGTGAGTACATAAAATGGATGTTAAGACTGCATTTTTGAATGGAGATCTAGATTAAGAAATCTAGATGAGGAGATCTATATGGGAACACTGGTACAAGAAATTTTATAAAACTATACTTAGTTTTGGTTTTTTTGTGAATGGTTCGGATGCTTGTGTGTATTCGAGGATGTTTGGTACTGATTACGTCATCATAAGTTTTGTATGTTGATGACATGTTGATTTTCAGTTCTAACATTGAGTCCATTAACAAACCAAAAAGTTTCTTGTCCATTAAATTTGAGATGATGGATTTGGGAGAAGTCAATGTAATCTTAGGAGTCAAAATTACCAAAACTGAAAAGGGATTTTCTTTAGGTCAATCACACTATCTTGAAAAAGTGTTAAAGAAATTTGACAGTTTTGATATCGTCACAGTTCGAACCCTTGTGACCCTAGCATATATCTCTTTAAGAATAAAGGAAGTAGAGTTTCCCAAAACAGAATATGCTAAATTAATCGGAAGCTTAATGTTCTTAATGAACTATACTCGGCTTGATATTGCTTATGTTGTGAGTAGACTGAGTAGATATACTCATAATCCAAGTGGTGAGCACTGAATTGCTCTTAAACGCTTACTGAAGTATCTTAAGGGTACTTTGGATTGGAAACTTGAGTTTGTTGGCTTTCCTACGGTACTGAAAGGATATTGGTTTCTGATAATGATGAGGCAAGCTCTACGAGCGGGTATGCTTTTACTTTAGGTGGAGCAACAATCTCGTGGAAATCATCAAAGCAAACTTGTATTGCTCGTTTTACCATGGAGTCAGATTTTATAGCTCTTGACCTAGCTGGGCAAGAAGCCAAATGGCTCAGAAGCTTGTTAGCAGATATTTTTTTGTGGGGAAGACCGACTCCTCTGATTTCTTTATTGTGTGATTCACAAGCTGCGATATATGTGGCTAAAAATCAAACTTACATTGGTAAGAAAAGACACATTCACATAAGACATGAATCAATTAGACACTTAATAAAGAATGAAGTGCTCTC